GCATAAGAAAGACGCGGACCTGTTGGAGCGGGTCCAGAGGAGGGTCACAAAAATGATCAGGGGGATGGAACGCCTCTCCTATGAAGAATAGGATGAACAACCCCAACTCTCTCAGCCTAAGAGAAGGCTTCGGGGAAACCTTCTTGCAGCCTATCAGTACTTAAAGGGGGCTTATAAAAAAGATGGTGGCAGACTTTTTAGCAGGGCCTGTTGCGACAGGACAAGGGGGAATGGCTTTAAGCTAAAGGGAAGAAATCTTTTACGCTGACGGTGGTGAAACACTGGCCCAGGTTGCCCAGAGAGGTGGTGGATGCCCCATCCCTGGAAACATTCAAGGTCAGGTTGGACGGGGCTCTGAGCAACCTGATCTAGTTGAAGATCCCCTGCCCACGGCAGGGGGGTTGGACTAGATGGCCTTTAGAGGACCCTTCCAGCCCAAACTATTCTATGATTCTATGTTATCTTAATTATCTTAAAACGTGTTTTTAAACATTTATGTTCATAACCCTGCTACTATACAGGATTTTCTTTTTTAATGCTAGTATTAATCCTCTGCTGTGAAGATACTGTCTGGTAGATTGTCTGGGGACAAGCTCTAATATTTTTACCTCAGGGTTTCTGAGTAGGCAAACTGCCCGACACTCTACTTTGACTATAGGAACAGGCGCAGGTCTTAGCTCTTGTGCTTATTTTTCATTTTGTCCCTTTTTGCTGATCACATTTTTCTATCTATACACTTCACTGTCCTTCACATGAGGCACATCCAATAGGCTAGTCTTCCATAGATACTATGCTGCAGGTTCAGGATACTGTTTATAGTGCACAGATTTGGTTTAGAAAAGGACCTGATACTGTATATTTCTTTTTCTGAATTAATCAGTATAGAAGGTAAGGTTTATTCAGTCACATTTCTGCAACCTCCTTTAGAGGCAGACTTTTTGAACTTGTACTCTTTTTATTTCTAAATATAAAATTAAGAGGCAGCTACAGCAGTTCTTGGTGTGATGGTATTATGTACTTCTGCAGAGATGCCTCTTAAAATAGGATGTACTCAATTTCATTTTTACAGAAAATGAGTTTGAATTCAGTTACGAAAAAATTCTGCCCTAAGGTCAGTTACACAGTTGTCCAGATGGCCCAGGGAAGTTGCAAAATCCATAGCACTGGAAGATAAACATGAGTCATCTCCCAAAATAAGACATATCTTGAAAAAGGTGGTCTGTTGAGCAGGTATATACTACAAATGACACTTTGTTGCAGAAATTTCCAAGCAGCTCTAAAAACATAGCCTACATTAGCCTACCAAGTAAGTTGTTTTCTTCTAAAAAGTTTGAGACCCATGAGGGATTTCGATAAACAACCTCTGCTTGTTGGGAAGGAGGATGGCAACTAGAAGTCTGCAACTCAGGTTCCGTAACAAAACAGCACAGTAAAGATACTGACTTTTCTCCAACTTGCATGCAAAGCAGCTAAGCAGGAATTATACTATACAAATAGATGTTGAATATTTTAGATCTTAGAATATCTTGTTAATTCACAAAACAATATTTTGCATGGTGTTCTCCAATTTGGAAGATTTTATTAGATTGAGAAAACGTTGTGATGAATTAGTTTTTAGGATTGTTTTTAGCAGTGAGAATCAAATGATGTGGATCTATATATACAATTTAAATAAATATGTTGAGTGAAAACTTCATAAAAGCCTAGTATCTTGTAATATGGGTTTGTTTTGATTTTAAAAGCCTTAGGTTTGGTTAGTAAGATCCCAATGAGAAGATTGTTTTTATGAAATTGGGGTTTCTTACTGATTACTCTTCTTGATTTTGAACTTTGTTTTGTTTATCACAAATGAGAGGGGGAGTATAATTTTATCCTCATCTTCCAGGCATTCCCATGCTGCTTTTATCCCAGCATGCTGTGATTTGAAAACTTTTCATCAGTATATTTTGGAAGCCTAATTGGAAATAATGAAGTTAAAGATGGAATGTAATTTATATATCAGCATTTCTTTGCTCTGCTGATGTAAACAAGGTGCATGTTTTCAGACAAGCTTCATTTTTCTCTTGAAAATATTTGACCTATTGGTAGCATGATAATCTAAGCTGTTCACAGTAAGGCCATATGGTAGTTAGCTTTGCTTATTTTCATAATTTTTTTTCTGCTTTATGTACGAAATATAAGATTTCTGTATGAATTACTAATCTTTTCTAGTAACTTTTATTATGGCGTTAAATCAATTTATATGTATGTGTAACATAAGCAAGGCTAGTATTTTCATCTAGTGCTTAATAGTTTTTGGAACCTGTTTTTTAGATGCTTGTAACTTGCCCCTTGGAGTTATACAAAATGAAATATTTTATGGTTGGTGTTCTCTTCAGTATATTGTGTCTGTCTTTAGCTTTAAGTGGGAAATTATAATGCAAAACAGTTTCCAAAAATAAGGCTATGAAAATACCTTTTTAAGAAAAAGTGAGACAAACAGTATTTGTGGAAGATACGCTTTCCTGCTGGACTTAAAATGCAGCTGCCGTAGGGTTTTTATTAACTGAGAGAGGTATTGACAGGGTTGCTGGAGGCTCTAAATGTTTTTGAAGGAGTAGTTGCGGTGTCCTCTGTGATGAACTCTGTACTTAACTCAGAGTAACTTAGGAAGTCACTGTGCAGAATTCCATCTAACTGATTTGTATTACAGATGTTTTAAATCAAGACTGTCTTGTCATCAAAGTTAGTACAAGTATCACTTATGCTTTCCAGTTGTACAGATTTGAAGTATTTAAGCAATTAAGCTTTCGGTATTATTGTATATAAGCTTACCTAAATAAAATTTTGAATGAATATTTGTATTTTGCAGTCATGCTGCAAGGCTTACGAATACATGGGATACATAATGGAAAAGGAACAAGCATATAAGGATGCAGCAATAAATTACGAGATGGCCTGGAAATACGGAAACCAAATAAATCCAACAATAGGCATGTACATGTAACCTATACATGTGATTTCAGGCACTACAGTAGGAATGAAACAGCTACCCTTTACTGGAAAGACTGCTTTTAATTTTCCACAGAGATAGAGTATCACTGGTTTTCCTCGCATAAAAACCACAGATGTTTAAAGGTGTACTTAACAGTCACTTGGAAAGCCCCCATGGCAAGAGGTAGCAGCTTTGTGATACTAAAGAAGTTTCTGCTTACTGTTTTAGTACAAGGTTTGGTCTGAAACCAGTTTTAGTTTGCTCTTTCTGAACAACTTTCTCTGTAAGTACAGCATTAATTTTTAATAATGTATTTATAGTAACACAGTATGTACTATCTATGGTAGAGAACCTTTTATAATACCCAGTATATGCTGATGGCAGCAGATCATTGATTTAATTATTTCATTTTGATAAACAGACAAATTATCTACTTGTATGGATAAGGTTTTATATACATGAGTAAGGATTTTAAAAAATTATTTAAATGTCTTGAAATACATCTGGTTTAAAAAAGATGGTTAACTGAAAACTTGGAATACTATTCAAGTATACAATTCTCTGTAGTAACACATGCTCTCCAGAATAATGTCTCCTTTTGATTCAAATAAAACTATCAGTGTGTAAAGGACTTCTATTTACTACTTGAAGTGACTTTCAGTAGAAATTTTGATCTCTACAGGCTTAGATGAGAGAATACTAGAAAACAAACATACTAACTTTAGAAACATACAGTGACCAAAATGAATTTGAATGTGATATTTTCATTATTCAATACAGAAACTGAAATTGTTGCCTTTTTTCACCCTTTTTACTTACAGGATACAAGCTGGCTTTCAATTACCTGAAAGGAAAGAGATACATTGATGCAATTGATGTCTGTCATAAGGTAGAATTTGTATATGTACTTAATATTCTGTCTACTGTAGCAACATTCTTCTACATAATGATCCTTTTTTTTGGTAGAGTTTAAATTTCTAAAATATACAGCTTAATGTCAGAAAGACACCCTATTTAATAAGTTTGATTAAATTAGATATCCTCTACATAATCTGCTTTATCCTGAGCTCCCTGACCACCAGGTAAATGAGAGATGATGTGGCTGGCTATCATATGTGAAAGCATATTCAAATGGCAGCACCTTCTTTTGGCCCTGTAGTTGCAACTTGGTAAATCCATACCAAGATGTATAGCTGAAGAAGTTAATTGAAGATTAATATCAGAAAACACTGTTAGAAAGTAACTTCCAGTATTATCTTTGTATGGTCCAAACATAAATAGAGCAGATGCAGAATAAGAGGAAGGGCTACTATTACAGAAGCAGAGTGAACATTATGAATTAATAATTACTAGTATTAATAATGAAATAAATTACATTTGCTCTTCTGGGGGGAAATAAAGATAACTAGAAAGGACAAATTGAATGGAAGGATAAGGGAGAGGAGGGAATTGAAGGGCTAGAAGATGAAGTGGGTAGAGTATAGTAAGAAAGAGCCTGAGGGAGTGAAAACATAAGAGCAGTTTATCATTGCAGAGAAAGTATACTTAAAATCTTGGAAATGTCTCCAGAGGTCACTGTTCTGAATGCATGCATTTCAAGCCACCCAGAGGCTTTAGCCCTTGACCCCTGTGTCTTTCACACCAAGGTGACAGGGCAGCATGAAAGGGAAGCAAGGTGTCTTTTGAAGCTGTTCTTGACCTCCATATGTGGTAGTCTCTAGCCACAGTTAAGTATTTATGCATTCTTAAAACAAACTTGTCATGTTATTATTTTAGTTTTAGAATGTGTAAGCTCAGTGATGAGGGGGATAACCAAACACAGTATTCTTTCCTTTTAGACACAGAACTTTTGGGTTGTTTTGTCTTTTGGCAGATCCTTGAAGCACATCCAAACTATCCCAAGATCAGAAAGGAAATACTTGATAAGGCCCGTGCGTCGCTAAGAACATGAATTTTTTTTTTTTATGGCTCATGGACTTGTTTGTTTAATCTGACTTTGGAAACTACGAATGGAATACTGGAGTGACAGAGACCATATCAGCACGAAAGTATTGTGAATATGATTAACTTAATTATACTAGAGATCGGATTATTTTCAAGAAAAATCTGCAGCCCTGAAAGAAATTGTATTTATTCTCATTCAGGAGAGAATACTGCTTACATGTGTGCTATGTAAAGTGTCATCCAGCATCATAAAAAAGTGTCATCAGCATTATAAAAATGTTTCAAAGCATATAACTCAGTATTTTGTTTTGTCCATTTGAAATAGGATAGGCTGTTTTTTTGAGTGCTATCTAGTGCAGGTGCATTGTTAAGATGCTGGATTTCAGTTCATGTAAACCATTTATTCACAATTACAGTGTAATCTTTATTACTACAGGTGTATTTTTAAAGTATTTTTTTTATTTTTACATATATTATAAGCACGCTTTATTTTTTTAATCTTGAAAACCCAGCTATATACATTGTTTTCAATGAAACTTAAATTTTTAATGAAAACTTAATATTTAAAATTAAGACCTTATGTAAATATTCAGTAAAGGCTTTTATAGATCATGCAAGGCTTACACAGAATTTATTTTCTACTCATGCTGTTTATTATCCACCTGTCAGATTTCCATGAAGAGAAACGTTTGACACTTTTAATTTGGAGTGTTCAGTCTTTCAACATTGTATGTGTAGACAGTACAGTCATATGTGCAGAAGTTAGCACTAATTTTGTTTAATCCATATAAAACACCTTTCTGGAGAAATAACTTTGATTACAGGGAATTACGATCTTGTCTCACATACAGAATATACCTGTGGATCTTTAAGGGAGCAATAGCATCTCGTAAATGAATGAGAGGAAGGAGAAGGATCAGGTTTTTTTTCAGTGATGCAGAATTTTTGAAAAAACAAATGCCTAACAAAAAACACTGCTGTATTTGGTTTTCAAACAGCACTTGATGTTGTATGTATTTCACTAGAAAAGTAATGTTTTGGCATGAAAAGAGAATTCTTAATACTAGTGATTAAGTTTCTTAAAATAACCAATTTCAGTTTCCTCCTTAGGCAATTTTAGCTTTTCATGTTGACATTGTGTAAAGTCACTTTCATTTGATTTTTGAGTGTCTTTTTTACGGCAGGGAAGGGAGCCTGTTTACAATCCTATCTAATCTTGCTTATCAATAACTGGGTGCTGTATCTTGGGTAACTATAGCCTTGTTTCCTAAATAGATTGACATGCATCACTTAGGCAATGGTGCTACCTACTGGTGGTTTCCAGGCTCTGCATTCCAGTAACTTTTGAGCTGTTGGTCAGCCAAACTAAAATTAATAGATGTGTCTCAGGACTACAACACTTCTACAAGATTTGCATGAATATTAAAGTTGAGAAAGGACACAACTAAGCGGCCTCTCCTTCTCTAGGGAACCTTGAAACACGCTGTAGCCTTATCCCTTCTGTTTGAGCACTGGCAATCAGTGTGTACATAACTGTACCAGGCACAGTGTACAGGCTCCCTGTTTTTTTACCTGCAAGTTGTGCAGTGTGGTAGAGCTCTGAGGAAGAAGATTTAAGGGATTGGGGAAAAAACAATGGTATGGGAGTGGAATGAGGAACATGGAAGGATCTGGAAAATGCTGAGGCTGGGGGAAACTGTAAGGGAGCTGGGCTGTGGGGATCAGTAGACTATGAATTCTTAAACTGTGCTGTTTTGGGTTTTTTCCCATTGCTAAAAAGAGTAAGTACGTTGGCCTTATCAAGGCAGTTTCTAGTAAAACAGCATTTCTTTGTACACAGCCCTATTCATAGAGGATCAATGTGGTTTTGCGTTCTGGTAGCACTGGAATAACATTTAGCTGAAGTTTGTTATAAAAATAGGTGGTTTTATATCAATACATGCAAGATGTTTTCAAAAAAGGCAAGACTTCATCTACATCTACTTTAATTTTTTTTTTTATCATGAGCATAAGATGCACATTACCCTTTCATAAGATGGGTAACAGATTAGGTCATGACAATGATAAGATACAGAAATTAGTTGACAGAAACTGAACTGAGACACTGAGCTTTTTGCGGCTAACTTTTGGCGAAGAGCTTTATTCGTATACCATGCAGGTAAAAGATTTCTGAATTCGCTATTAGCCATCTTGAGCATATCTAGCCACTAGTATCTTTTTATGGATGGGGTCTTTAAAAGAAGAGTGCAAATGTGGCACATCTTTGGATTTCAGTTAAAAAAAAAAAGGTGGCTGTAAGTAGTCCTTTAGAGAAAATCTTGCTTTAATATAGTATTCCCAGAAGAAATAAATGGCCTTTCTGTTTCCATTTTGGTTTATATAAGCCAATTTAAGTTTTTCTGTCCTTACTAAATCTTTTTTTACTTTCTCTGCAGAAGGCATGGCTTTGTTTCATTTCTTTTTACTCCAACTAATTGAGAGTGTTAATTTCAGCTTTCCTTCTGCTTTTACAGTTTCTTTTTTTAAAAATGCATGTCCTGGTAGCTTCTTTTTTTAGCCCCTTAATAAATGGTTTTGAATGGAAGAGACTCCTGGATGGAGGGGAGTCAGTAATGCTAATTTCAAAGAGCTGCAGTCTTCAGTGCGGTGTTGCTTAGCAACCCATCTTCCAGTTTCGCCTTTGGTGAATAAAAGAGGAGAGTGAAGCTGTGGTTTCTATTGATTCATTCATTGAAACTGGAAATCTAAGCATCTTGTAGCTATAGCAACATAAGCCATAGGTGTCTCTTCCTCCTCTCTTGCTCCCCTTTCCCCTGCAGGTACAGAATGCCTAGAATATCTTCTCAAGGATTTGTAAACATTTTTGGTAACAGGGTACCCTGTTTAATTCCCTACTGCTTTTTTCAGATTTGTACCAATACTAGGAAGATGGTCTAGAAAGTATCATTAGGTAAAATAATTAGTATAATTAGCTAAAATAACTAAAATAGCAAGACTCTTATAGAAAAATAGACTAGAAGTAATTTGCATTTTTTCCCTTGTTTTTTGGACTAGGTATGAGTATTGCAAGTCACTTCTCAAATGTGGCTACAGTAATTTTTAGAAAGGCTCATAAATCAGGCAACTCTGCTTTAGTAACCTAAACCTTAATCTTGTTAGCCATTAGCTGAGTGAGTAGCTTTATAAACATAATAGTTTTAAACAGTTTATAGTGTTAGAGAATTTGTTGAGAATTTTCTGAATGAATTATCGTTGAAAGTGGTCCAGGAGACATTTCAGGGAAGTCTTGATAGTGGGGGTGGGCGGAAGCTGATCATAAAGAACTCATTAGTGTGTTCCCTGTACAATGCTGAACAGGAAGAAATAGGAAAAGAAATCAAGGGAAAATTTCACTAGCAAGTACTTCTCCATCAGCTTGTGACTATACCACTTTACAGTAAGATCACTATTTTGTCAGTTTAGGCTCCTTACAACTGTGATTTTGATTTCTGCCTTCATTCACACTGGTTTTACCTCTTGCTTCATCTTGCAATGAAATCAGAACTTTTTTTTTTAAATACTGATCTGCCTTAAAATGTTTAGAATTGGACTGTTACTGCAAAAATCACATGCTTTTTATCTCTGCTAAAACTTGGTTTGGCAATTATGTGACATGGCGCTTGCTAAAAGAGGAGCTAAGTGAATGGTCTAAATCTTGTTCTGAAGTACTTTTTTTTTTCTTTTTTTTTTTTCCCTTCAAAGGAGTCAGTATGCCTGTTAATGCAGGCTTTATTCTGGAAAACAGCAGCTCTTAAAATGTTCACACTAGAAATTTGCCTTACTTGAATTTTGTGCTATGAAAAGTTAAATGTTGGCTATGCATGTCTCAGGTGATGTAGTACTTGCTACAGTTCAGGCCTCAACTTTCAAAGGCATAAGGAAGGATTTTAATACGCTAGAAATACCAGAACGTATTAATTGTGATTAATTCTGGTCTAAATCTTCATTTAAGTGTTCCTGGGGAAGATGAATTCCATCATAAAATACTGGTATTGACATCTTTGTTACTGCTGTAGAAGCAGTGTAACTACTGCCAACTCACCATATATTTGCTGAGCAAATTTAGCTGCCTCCAGTTCAGCAAGCTGAACGAAATCAACTTGGAAGCGCTGGGCTGAGACTGCAATTGTGCTACTTTTATTTGAGAGAAGGAAGAAAGGGAGACTCCGTGCTGTATTAAGGGAAGTGAGGAGCAAACTTTGTGCAATTATTACTTTTATTTTCTCCCCAAAATTAAACCATGCTTATATAAAAAAGTGATTTTATATCTATCCCTCTGGGACACTTTGCAGTGCAAAGGAGGGGAGCTCAGTGTGATACCCTCTCTCTCAAACTCTGATCTCACCTCTAAGGGATTTTGTGTTCGGTTTCCCAGCAGTGTGACTGGGAGTGCTTGCACGACGTAACACGTAGGTGAGTGAAGAAAAAAAAATCACAGCGCCCTGCCGTGATGCTGAAAATGCAATCTGTAATTTGGATGTTAAAGCAGGCGTCGATTCTCGTGCCCCGCTGCGGTGCGCATTATGTAATTGTCTAAAAATTACATTTTCCGTTGGGTGCAGCAGGCGAGGAGGGATGGGTAAAGCATTCTGCTCCAGAAGCTCTCCAATTCCTTCAGCAGCAGCCTCCGCGTGTCCCCTTGCCCCCGCCGCTGAGGGTCTCCTGTCTCCCCCTCCTCCGGGCAGGGCTCGCTCCCCAGGGCGGGGCCCCGGGCGGCGCGCG